CACACACACACACACACACAAAAAAAAAAAAAAAAAACAAAAACAAAAAAAAAACACATGAGACACAAGAAACACACAGAAAGACAGAGACACCTATACACAGACATATACATACAGAGAGAAACACACACACACACACACCAAACACCCCCCCCCACACACACACACACGAGACACTGGAAAGACAGAGACACAAGCAACACAGAGAGACACAGACACACACGGATATATACACACAGAGAGAAACACACACACATGCACACACACACACACATGCACACACACACACACACACACACACACACACAGAGAGACATGGTGTGCCTTTCTTCAGCTCAAAAAGAAAAAACAAACCAAAAAACAAATCTAAGGATCCTTTGGGCTTGTGATCCCTAATTCATGGATTTATCCCCTGGATCTGGAGCATAACAGATTGGAGTCCTTCATTCAAGGAGCAGATGGCTGTAAGTGAACTTTACAATGGACAGTGCACAGTGGTATGCAATGATATTACACTCCCTATAGAATTAGCTTGTTTTACTGCACCACAGGAGCCTGAACTCTAGATGGGGTCCCTTTGCAAGGCAGAAGAAATCACACACCCCTGACTTTGTATCTCACACATATGTCTATAGGACAGCAGAGTTCACCTGATGAACTCTGTCCCACTTTGACAGGACCTCTTGTCACAGGAGAAGACCATGCTGCAGGAAGTACAGCTCACTATCTCTTAGCCAGATGAACATTTTAAAGACTGAAACCTTTTTTTCCTCCAGCAAAAGTCAGGTTAAAAAGACAAGAAGTGCCTGCAAAAGATAAGATGGTGCATGGTGGATTCATCTTTCTTAGAGGACAGAAGAGGGAAATGACTGTAGCTTCCAAAGCAGAAGTCTAACCCTAACCTAAAGGAATTTCTCCAGATGTGTTTACAGCAGACTTGAACTCAAAGATAAAATGCATAGGATTCCCAACACTCTCTACATGTTTGACTAAAACTTCCATTTTAAAATAACTACTTTAAAGACTTCAAATGAGGACTGTATAATTTTAGTGAACAATAATTTAATTCTAAAAAAATCAGTTTGGGAAAATCAATTCCTAAAGTAGAAATAATACAACACATGAAAATGGATGTTGCTATCACAGTGGAAACAATTCATTTACCTTTCTTACAGAAAAAGTGAATTTTAAGATCAGTGATCATAGAGTGTTATTTCCTTGGTGTTTTTGTTTTTTGTTTTGTTTTGTTTTTTTATCTGGGGTTTTGTCAGTAACAAATGACAGGAGCCAACAATTATGTAGCAAAATGAAGTAGATACTTTGGTTTTGACAAGAAGGCAAAAGAGGAAAGACTTTTGTGCCTGGAAGTTATTAAGTAATAATTTCAGAATTTTGAAGTCATTAGGTTTGGCTTTGGAGACAGTCTTGTTTTATTTCTTTAGCCAAATATGCATCATGGCCAAGTAATCTTCAAGATGGTAGCAATATCACCATGAAAATACAAGCAAAAAAGAAGCCCAGATAAGACTCTGCAATGAGTGGAAATGGTATGGGATAGGCAGGGTGTTAGTGTGGGTCAGGGGAGGAGAGGATGGAGAGGAAACTGGGATTGACTTGTAGAACAATCTTGTTTCTAATTTAAATAAAATAATGGAGGGAGAAAGACTCTGCAGTGATATAGCTAACACCTATTGGAAGAAAAGAAGGCATTAGGCTAGAGAAAAAGAAGTGTCTTGTGATGCTGCTGGTATGGTGGATATAGTGAGAGATGGAGAGGATAGGAGCAGGTAGGGGAATGTTTAAAAAGTGTTTAAATAATATTAGCATGTACAGTTACATTGCTATAACAATTTGAAAATGTATCCACCAAATTTCCTTGGCCTTCTTTAGTTATGCCTTGAAAAAATATCCGGTTATGTCCCTGTAATTAAACACTTGCCACAACCCTTTACAATAGTTCAGATGCAGGACAAATACAGTCCTGTGTAGCTCTGCATATGTAAGCATCTCAATTACTGGGTCTCATGTGTCCTGTACTATTTAAAAGGAAATTAATTTCCCCTAACATTTTTATCACTGTTTTAAATATGTCCTCATCCTAAAACATTACAGGTTTTAAAAGGAATCTTCCTTTGAAAGCCCACTTTAAGGCCCTCCAAGGAGGTGACTAAAGTGCTTCCTCCCACTATGTGCAGTTCCTCAAGGCAAAACAAAGATATGTGTGTGTGTGTGTGTGTGTGTGTGTGTGTGTGTGTGTGTGTGTGTGTAAGAAGTACTCCATTGAACTGAATGTCTTCCTTCCTGACTCCCTCAGCAACTCCTCTTAATGAACAGAAAGAAAAATTTAGAATTTGATCAATAAAATGACACAGAGTCTGAATCCCGACCAAGAGCAAAGCTGTCTGACCCCCTTCCTGCTTCCCCCACCCCCAGGAGCTGTCTCCACACACCTCCTTTCTTCCTAGCAGCACTAGCAAACTAATTCCAAAGAGCCTCTTCACAGCAAGAGGGAAAAGAAGCCGCCCTTGATGCCCCGAGGGAATCTCAGCAGCAGTGAATGAACAGGCTGGCAGGTCTCTAGGCGCGGAGACCTGCCCCTTGGTGTTTTGCTATTTCTGGAGAAAGTAAATAACAGGAGATACTCATTTTTTCCAGTCCATTCTACAAGAGTCTCATGTATCCCTGTGTAGAAAGCTTTCTGGGAAAAAAATCCCATGTACAGTTTCAAACGCCAGCTGAACATTCAAAACACATTTTAAAACAGACGCATCTGGGTGGCTGCATTATTTATGATTTTGGTCATCTTCTCTTAAGATGGGTTTTGGCATTTTCTTATTGAGCAAGTAAGCCTGTTATCAGGAGAAAAGAAAATGTCCACGCACTTAGACCTGTTTTCACAAGAAGCTTACCCGTGTTTGGAAGGTTTGCTACGTTATACAACCGAAGTGAATATGTCAAAACTCTGCATCTTGTCTCTAAATCTGTATTTCGCGTCACTTTACTACATTTATCAACTTTCTCGGGCCCGGTAAAGGTTAAAATATCATGTTTGGAGTTACTGAGTTTCTGTTTTGAAAATATGTTTAAAGGTAGCAAGAACTAGATCCAAATTAGAATTCTAAAGCTTCGAAGTTTTACATTTGAAGAAAGAATCCCAGTTACCTAGTCAGCCACCATTTTAAGCAATAAGCTTGCTCAAAATAGATAGATAGATAGATAGATAGATAGATAGATAGATAGGGTAGGGGAAAGCCTGTTTTTTTTGTTTTGTTTTTTGTTTTGTTTTGTTTTGTTTTCTGTCACAAAGAGCTGAAGACTGGAGTCCTTGTTAGGAGCATGTTAGCCATTTAGCTTTGGGCAGCACAGCACTGAGACTGTCACAATTGTGAACAGCAAGGCTATTGTAATTATGACATCGAGTTGGGATTTTCGATATCACTTGGAATTCTTTATTTATTTATTAATTTGTTGGTGAATTCTCTGTTGATGTTTTAAAATAATTTGTATATACCTATTTAGAGTATCTTTCGGGAAAAATACCTCTTTTTAAGCAATAATTTGGGGAAAAATAAGAAACCATTTATTGGAGATTTGAAAAACCCAGAATGTTGCTATGTGGTTCTTAATCACTAAGCGTCAACGAAGTTAATGTTTTCTTTAAAATTTCTTCTTAATACTAAATTTTCCTTATCAAGTCCTTAAAACCGGACCTTTTACATAGCTAATCTTTTAATCTCCGTTTCGTTTTACGGAAAGAAAGCCATCTTCTGGGTCGGAGTGCTGGGTGCCCTCACCCCTTGTATATGACATTCAAAAAACATTCTTTCCAGTTAACATTTTTGATCAGCCGTTCTGAAATCACCACTCTGCGATCTAGAACGCCTAAAATAAAATTTCAAGAATTGTGCTGGAGACCAGGAGATCGTCAGCATCTGCCCGCTGGATCGGAGGATAAACTTGGGGATGGGGCCGGGAGATGCAGGTGAGCTCTGGGGAGAAGAAAGGTTGAAAAGAAGCCTAGGAGCTGTCCTGCAGGTACGGTAACCTTCTAGTCCCAAGACCTCTTAGCTGGTGTGGTGGAGGAGGGGAAGAGTTACACGCCAGAGATCTGAAAAAAGGCCCGAAATCTTTATCTGGAATTTGTATACCGCAAGAACGCGGAGGGAAACAGTGTTCAATCTGGGTTCAGACCCAAAGAGCGACGTTTTGTTTTGCATTTAAATGAACTCAGTGAAGCAAACAGAACTATCTCTCGTGCTCTGATAGTCTTGCCCTGCTCCTTGGTATCGCCACCCACAAGTCTTTATGCCGCGGGTGTCTCTATAGGTGGATCTTGGAGGAGGGGTGGCCCCTGAAAGCTGAAGCCAAGTCCTCAACTCCCGGCACCGATGCCAGACTGAAGGCTGGAGGCCCTGGGACGCAGCTGAGCTGCTCAGCTCACTCCCGCCCCTAAGCACAGAGCTCATTAACAGGTGGAATCACACCCCGAGAGCCCTAGATCCTGCCTGCCTCCATAGAAACAAATCCGTCAGACTCACAACACCATATGGGCTAGGTCAGGGCCTAGCTTTTGACGTGCACTGCCAGAGGCCCGCACCACCCGCGCACCTATCTGGGTACTCCTCCTTTTTCACTTGTGCACTTACAGCACAGCCCCATTTCTGCAGCATCCAACACACGTACACAGCCGCGCACACCCGCCCTCCTCTAAGACACTGGGGCCGCTTCTCTAACAAGCCTGTTTAGAGTGGCCTAGCATAGCCAACTCCAGTGCGTAGGACTTAAAGAGAACCTGAGCCCTTTCAGACCTGGAAAACGCTGCAGTCAGCTCTACTGCCTGGAAGGCGTGTCCAGCGTCAAGGAGACGCCCCCGGGGAGTTTCCAAATTCCCCAGGGCGGGATAGAACCATGCGAACAGGAGCAGGGAGACCCAACCACAGACACCCTCAGCATTACCGGTTGGCAGCCAGCCGTGATGCGATATATCCACCCGGAATCTGGGTGATGATATAGCCCCAGAAGAACGAGCCATGAATCATCCCCACGGTTTCAGGGTCCCAGTTGAATTTGGCTTTCTATAGGAAAAGAGGGAAATCACAAAGAAACAACAGGTCAAGGGTGGCAAGACAGAGTAGCGCACATAATTCCTTTTCGGTGGTTTGTGCGCCATGAACCTTCAAACACGCAGGGCATTTTCTGCCATACTGGGGTCAGGGGCTTAATTTTCGTTTTGTAACAAAATTGCTTCTGACAAGAGGGACTCCTTTTAAAACGGTCTTGTGATTCACAATGAAGTAAGGGCTCCCCAGGCTTCCTGCCGCATCGGACTGTTGTAAGTGAACCTGGGACCTCCTCAATTAGTACCAAGGACTCTTAGAAGCCCTGTCAAAGACATTTGGACCCCAGAAAGCGATAATGGCTGAGGCTCTTTTGACTGTTGCAGTAAAGTGGAGTGACTCCCAGAATGGAATGCAACCTTCCGGATGTACACAGGAAAAAGAAGACCACAAGGGGTTGGAAAAGGTGTCTCCCCTAAATCTGGATGCGCAGGACAAAAAAGATTTGGGGACAGTCTCCCCGGGAGTCTGGAGAAGTCATGTGGTGGTGGTGAGGTCACTGTTTAAAGCTTTGTTTCCGAGCTGTGCGAATGTTAAGGCCTGACTCCACCCACACCACACTGGTCCACATTACAAGACGGGCCTCTCTAGAAACCAGAGCTAAATGCTTGCAAGTTACTGTAAAAGTCCAAGTTTTTGTCTTACCCAAGAAACTAGGAATACCATTTTCCTCCCTTGCAATGAAAATTTCCCGGGTATCCTGGGCTCCAAGGGGGCCCAGGGACTCTAATTCGGCTCCTCAGAATGTCCCCAAATCTGTGACCAAACTAAGCTGTTTTACACTTTCTCCTGAAAGATTTCTGTGACCTTCAGCGGGCTCTCACCGCCAGACATCCCTCAGGAATACACACTTTAAGACTAAGGTAGTGTGCACTCTAGTGAACGCGGACTCCCCTATCCAGCAGGTCCTCTCCTGGCTGGAGTCCCTTCCGAAGAATGGTTAGTCAAACCTAATATACATATGCGGATTTGATTGTGGGGCTTGCTGTTTGTTTTAGTTTGATAACTAAACATGTTTTTTCCGGGGGAGGGGTGCTGGTGATCTGAAGGAAGCCAAGAGAACATTATAATGTCTTGCAAATGAGGGACGAAATGCAGGGATCACCGAGATAAAGGGAGATAACAGCACTCTAGTGGACCTTTCTAGAATGGCTGGACAGAGGGAAGGTTTAGACAGTAAGAAAACCTTCCTTTTTCAGGGGGAGGGGGAGAGGGAGGGGAGGGGAAGCAGGCTTAGACCAGTGACCAGCGGAGGGAGTCCAATGCCCACCTCCTTGATAACTTTGCCTCCGCGGTGGATGGTGCTGTTGTTGACCATGTCCACAATGGCCACACCCAGGTTGCAGCGGATGCCAAAGGAGATGCAGAAGCCGAGGCCGCTCATGATGGCTATGATGTAGCGGCGCGGCAGGCCGAAGCAGGTGCAGTCGCACAGTGGAGCCTTCTTCTCAGGCACCTCCAGGGGCTTGCCATCCTCTGTTAGCTCAATGGTCTCCCGGGTGTCTTGCTTCTTCTCCAGCACCCTGAGCATCAGATTAGGAAGCAAGGACGCCTATGGTTAGGCACCTCCCCCGGGTAGTGTAGCGGGACAAAGATGTCCTAAGATTAATTTTTCTTAATCCTCAGGAGCTGGGGAGTTGGGCTCTGACCTCTTTCCTGCTGAGGAGTTAGAATGCGGGCAATACAGAGCTTAGGAGCTCTTAAATTCTGTGAAATTCTACGCCTTCCTCTCTGGGCAGCAGCTCCCTCAGGCCTAACTCAGTGAACCCCAATTCTATCACCTCTGTCTCCATTCATCTACAGGCCCCATTGGACCTAACTTTTGAGGGCACAGGGTGAAAGGGAGAGGGTTGGTAGAGGAATGCCTACTGCAGGATGCCCCCCAGGCTCCTAGTTGCTTTAATCCAGGCTACTGCGGGTCCTTTCTGCGGGGCTACTGTGGGGCTTGACAGGTTCAGAGGCAACTCTGTCCAGGTGCAGCTGCTTGAGGACCACCTCCTCCTTCCTTCCCCTCACTACACCCAGACTGCAAATCCTTTCCTCACCAGTGGTTACCCTGCCAGTCATTTCCCAATCCTTTACCAAAGTGTACCATTTCACCACTCCCTCCTCTTTGCGCTCTCTCTCTCTCTCTCTCCCTCTCTCTCTCTCCTCTCTCCTTCCCTCCCTCTCTTCCTCCTCTCTTTCCTCTCTCTTCTCTCTTTACTCCAGTTAGAAACAAAGGCCTCTGCAGCATATGCCTGACACTTCAGCTTCCTTCCTACAACATGAATAATTAATCATTCACAAGCTTGTGTCATTACTATCTCAGTTACAACACACTGAAAAATATCACGGGCCCATTTCCACACACAGAAAATGAGATTCCAAGATTTACCAAGTGGTGCCTACATCACCATCTGTACCACTAAGAGGAAATCTCATTTTATTTCATAGGATTTCACTCTTCTCAATCAATTCTGATTCTGGAAGCAGTGGAGAAGGAAAACAGAATTGGAATGCTAGAACGGCCTTGTGAAAAGGTGGTGTTGTTCTCATACCTACCATATCCACAAAATTTCTATTTTTTAAAATAACAGGGTAGAAAGTGATAGCTATCTCTCATTGAGACTGGTATTTTTGATATTTAAACAGTGTCTTCACTTACAATTGGCAAACATTTCCTCAATCCATCTTGTAGTTACTTTCAATCCTGTACCCACCATTAAATGGCACACCATTGCTTACACACACACACACACACACACACACACACACACACACACACCACAGGTGAAGCCTGTGGAATTCCTGGCATGTATAGCTTGGAATATGGCTGTCAAGAAACTTGAAGATATCTTGCAAATTCTATCAAATTCCACTGCAGAATGGGTCATTAAGGTGTCCATGACTAGGCTTCATGGATGTTTATCACAGATATGCAAATCAAGTAGCAGAAACACTGTATTTCTTTCTGCAAAGAAGAAATTAAGGGATTTGATGCTTTTTGACTTGGCTTTGTATCTCTGCATTTGCTGAGTTGAATTCTGCACCTGAATTTCCCACCTCACAGCACTCTCTGAACAGCTGCAGGACTGCGGCATCTATTGCCGCAGAGCTTCGTGATGGTGTCTACTGAAGCCCACCGGAACCAATCCACTTGAAAAATAGAGATGTACATTGGTCATCTTGGTTACAATTCTCATGGTTAGCCAAGGCTTCAGTTTCCAAATGTGAAAATGAATCCTTTTCAAAATCCATTTTCCTGCTGTGTCTGCTGTCTCATTTATTTTGCTTATGTCATTAACAAAAATAGTATTCATAGAAGATATAATACATCTGGCAGGACCAGAAGTCATGAAGACTAGAGGATGATTAGTGTAGTGATTACAAGAAGGACAGCATTTAAATTTTTTCTGTTACTTTCAAAGTAATCTTGCAGTTTACAATTCTTTTTGTTCTTAAATTACTGTGACATTTCCCACATAAGAGATAGATTCCATATATATATATATATATATATATATATATATATAAAAAAAGAATGCATACAAAACATTTTAGGTTCAAGAGGGAAGCATCAATGATAATTTATTGATACATTTTGATCCTGTTTCAGGCAATATAGAATTTCTCATGAGAGAGTCTTCACTATATTGTGCAGCTGAGATCTGAACTTCTTTTTTTTTTTGTCATTAGTCTTTGACATTCATTTTTTAAAGGGGTTTGGCTTTTGTTATTCACTTGCCTGGATCAAAGGAATTTAATTTGGGGAATTTAAATGCAAAAAACTGCAGGCTTTCCGAACAGGTGTTGAATGAATATTTCAGGATTGCAAGGAAGATTAAGAGCTGGACTGGAAGACATGAGAATCCCCAGGTAATGAAACAAAATCACACACACACAGACACACACACACACACACACACACACACACACACACACACACACACACACACACACACACACGACAGGTTCATTTAATGCCACATTCTTGCATTCATAAGCAGGTTTCCAGTGGAGCCTTGGTTCAGCAATGAGAAACAAAAAGACTTTCCCACCATCTCTCTAAATAACCAAGATTTACAGACATGGCCTTGCAGATTCTGTCACAGTGAGCCCCAGGTGAGAATGGGGTTGCTTTCTCTTACCTGTAGATCTGGCCGAGGGATTTTCCAGCAAAATTCTTTATCCCCTCTTTTCCGGGGGCCAAAATCCTTTGTTTTACCGACTCCATTCTTAGAAAGACTGGTGTCCAACCTTGCCAGATTTAAATTGTGATGGCTATGAAAGGCGAGTTCTGCTCATAGTCTTAGTCGGTTAAGGTGGAGCTTTTTCTTCTCAGCAAACAGAGGTGAGCTTTCTAGCAAGGCTGTGAACTGGAGAGGGGAGAGAGAGCAAGAAAGAGAGTACAACAGAACAGCTGCATGCAGCCCACGGGTTTCCTAATAGGAGAATTGGTACACAGAATCACAAAGTCTCATTGGAAGGGGAGGATCCGGTGGCCGAGGGCGCGCGCAGTGCCGTGGTATTTGGGCGGGTGCTGATGAGTCCCCTGTTCTGGAAGTCAGCTCACTGAAAAACAACGTAAATTCCCAGTTTTGAAGGCTTATTGCAATCAAATCCGCTGGCTATTAATCTGAGGGACGAGAAACGTCATCGAACCCTTGTGTTAGGGAAAAATCAAAAGAACCCTACTGTTTAAAGCTGTGACTTTGCTGATCAGAACTCATAGCTCTCAGAACCCTTGGGAGCTTCCCAGGCCTCAGGTGAGCGATGCTGCTGTTAGCTTCCTGCCTTAGCGTGGTCTCCTCCCATCGCGCCGGCGTAACTGTGCTCTGCCGCAGAGTGGCAGAGTCGAATTAAGACTGAGGTTAGCTGCTTTTTGTGAACGTGCGTGAGTAACAGACACACAGCTGTGATTTAGGGAGCGTCAGGGGAGGCTATCCAAAAAAGCTGACCGCACCCGTTAGCGCGCGCGTCGCAGCTGAACATTTCAGCACCACGGACAGAGGAAGTTCAGGAACCCAGAATGCCGCTTTTGGCTAGCCAGCTTGCCAACTTCCTAGGGGAGCTGGGCGGATCGCCCTGACCAAGGGCCTTTCTAGGGCTCTTCAGGAACGGATGCTATGGAAACCAAGTGGGGAGATGTCATCATCTGCAGAGTTCTCAGGAGGAAGGCTGCATTTGGGTATGCAAGTCAGGAGGGCTGTATTAAGCATTGACAAGTTACTCTGCTTGGTCAGCTTGTCCATACCAGCTCTGACAACATGGTGGGGGAACCAACACTGCAGAAGCTTCCAGCAGTGTGGTATCCAGATGAACACCTGGTCTCCCTTGGATATAAAGGATGTGTTTATGGGATGTGTAATAATATTCTTGTGTGTTTGATTCCATCCCTAAGACGAACAAGAAAGGATGTAGAGAGAAAGAAATTGAGGGAGACAAAGAAGATGTGGGAGAAAGAGGATAAATAGAAAGAAAATGACAGCTGTGATCTTAGAGTACTCTGTTAAGTAAAGACAGGCAGTTTGATATGAACTCTCCGGAATTCTAAGCTGTTTTAAATTAACTAGTATACAGCACACTACTGAATTATCTCCATACAGGTAAAATTTATGCCTATACTTATACTTGTCAGCAAATACTAATGGATAATGTTTTAAAATTTATTTCAATATACTTGCACTCTATTGAAATCTCATTTTTCGCCTTTATGATACCTTCTCCCAATGGGGAGGAGGCTATTTTTGCTGCTGTTCTTTGTTATGGGAAATGGTCACACAAGGTTTTCCATCTTGGTTGCATATGTATAACATAAGTGAGCTTACTTCATTAAGCAAAACAATTAAATAGTGCCAAATTAATGTAAATTATTAATGCTGTTCACATGGATTATAACCCTCTTAGATGCAGTTCAGGCAAGAGCTTATGAAACAGACTGGCCTTGAGCTACATCCCCAAGGTCAAACTTTCCATGCTATTTAAACCAACCGGGGAAGGGGGTTTATATAGGGACTATTGAATTACATTCTGAAGGTATAGCTGTACATGCAGCATCATGTAAGAATATCCTTATATATTCTTACAATATAAGAATAACATTTCAAATGATATGTAGAAATGTATTTTCCAAAGACAGAGATGAAAAAATATCACAAATAGCTAAAACACTTTTGCAATTGTTCAATACAATGCTGGTAAAATTATATTTCACTAGGAAGTATAGTTGAGAAAGGGTATCAGTCACATATCTCTGTTATTTTGGTACATATGCATTATGTGAATGTATTATATGTTACATTAAATATATATTTCAAAATATGTGAAGTCATCTTCAAAAAGATATCCCTGGAAGGCCACTAAATGCTCTGTACTTCCATAGGAGATTGTGTATAAAGAAAAAAATTTCTTATCAAATTGTTTCATCACAAACAAAATTTCATGCCCCTCAGAACATGGTTGTCTTTCAAAATACAGGTTTCACAAATCCTTAGCTACTGAAGTCTCTGAAATGAATTCATTTAGGACTATCTGTGCCCTTTTCATTGTGGAAGTTTATGAAAAATGGAAGTTACATTAAATATCTGTGAGGCTGAGATGATGATGCAAAAGTGATTCTCCTAAGCATTTCTCAGTTGACTAGAAGTCAAAACCACCAAAAACCAAGATGGCTGCATCATTCATATATATTCCAAGCAATAGTACTCTGGCATGATGATATTGCTTCTAGAATAAATAATTGCATTCATTGGCATTGAGAAATACTATCTAGTTTTTCCTCCTTTTCCCAGAAATGGTCTCAGTGTCTGAATTGAAATAAGAGCTAATATTGATTTCTTCATTCTAAAAACATTTGTTGAGAGCCGAGAATTGCACTAGGCTGGAAACATCTCTTTAAAGATCTCAGAAACCACGTGGCAGATACACATACATTTCATTAAATATAATTATGGATAATATTAGACACAATAAAAAATAGTCTCTGTGTAAAGGTGTACGGGAAGCATTTTAGGAGGCAAGGCATCCTTGTTTGTCTTAATATTTAAAAGAACTTAGAAAATGATGACAGCCCAGTGGCCAGGGAAGTTGTACAAAGAGAGCTGGTAATACTTGGAGAACATTTCCATCAGTGGAGAGATTAAAGCATAGTCATGAATAAGAGGAATCACCGAACAGTGAAAATTATAAGAATTGATGCTCAGTCTCCATAGTCTGAGTGTGCCCTCAGGCTCTGCTCACATGAGTAGCTGGTCCCATCATAGCACATCTATTTACCAACTCAACAGATTTTCTTCAGCCTTTTTAATGTGTTCCAAAATCCCAGACACTGACCATAAACTCATTGGGCCCTAGTGAATTCATTAGATTCATCTTTAGGCAAATATATGGTAATACTTATGAATATGACTTAGATAAAAGCATTCATTTCTATGGACACTCTCCTTTTCCCTGTGAATTAATAGTATATCAAATTTTAACCATCTCCTCTATTCCACCATTAGCTTTCCCTCTGAGAGCATACCTCCTTTCCTACAGGGTTTCATTAATTTAACTCATGTGCATAACTGATTATAGTTTATGAATGGTTCACACTCAGATGACCTCATTCATCCCTGGCAATTCTCTGAACTGAAATTGATTTTTACTCCCATTTTCTAGAGGATAAGAATGAGGTCTACAAATTGCAGTAAACTGTGTACCTGGTAATGAAGATGAGGGAGCTGTATAGGTTGTAATACTCTCCCATATTCAGAGATCCTGTTAAAATAAAGAAATAATTCAAGAGGTCCAGCTGGAGTCCCAGATGAGGCAAATTTCTAAGGCACATCTCTCTCTGGATCATACTTTGAACACCAGCACCCTGGAGAATGCAGCTGAGAACAGCTGTTTTGGGGTTGGCTCAGATTGTATTGCTGTAATCAGAGGCTCAATGACTCTAAATAAAAAAAAAAAAATCCATTTCCCATTGTTACAGGGAAAGGTTTATAGTAGGTTATCTCTATCATGTCTTCCTTTTGCAAAATCACTTTCTATTTTTTATTGATGAGAATTGTTTGTTTTGCTCCCCCTGTAGTAAGATGTTTCAATATTTAAACTTTCTTTTAATAATAAGATATGCACAGGGTAACAAAAATAATCCTTAAAAGCAGGTTTCTTTTTGAAAATTCTATTTTTTTATATAGATGTATTGCTTGTCTTTGACTAGATAGGTATTCATATGTGATTGTTCAAATAACTGTATGCATGGATACCTTGATATTTACATAAGGGATTACCCACAGCAATGAGGCAGGTTTACATTTGTTTATGTGAGGAAATACTTGCAAGGATTATTTAAATGTCTTGCAAATGTTGCCCTCTGGTGGAAGGATATGTTATCACATTAAAAAAATCATAACCCTTAATTATGTAATTTACACTATTTGCTCTTTTTATTTTCTTTTGCTTCTTCCTTTCTTATTCCTTTCCCTGTTACCATTTGTTAAAATTAAATCTACAACTAAAATTATAGAGTTTGTCTTGTAGACAATGTGTTTGCTATTGTCATACTGATTACTAAATTTCTGCTGTATACTAGTTAATTGCTTGAGTATCTCTCACTTGAACACAAAGCAAATTTCACTGTGATGAGGTCGAGAAATGCCAGCTAACCCTACACAGGGGATGGTTTAAAATGGGACTGCACAATAGATTATATTATGTTTCTCTTGTAGGCTGTGCTTCCTCCCATATCACTGTATACACATTTGTGTGTGTGTGTGTGTGTGTGTGTGTGTGTGTGTGTGTGTGTGTGTGTGTGTTGTGTGTGTGTGTGTGTGTGTGTATTATAGACATCCTGCTTGGCATCATATTGGAAGTCATACATAAATCATTTCTAGGGGTGTTGTAATCACAAGTCAAAATTATCAATTCTCCAAGTATTTTAAATGGAACATTTGGTTTGTTGTAGACATTTAGCGCTACTATGGTTCCACCCTTTGCTTGATCACAGTAAACTCATGAGCTCAGTAAGAAAAGCATGAGTGCATATTCTCAAAGAGAGAAATACATTTCAGTGCTTTCTGACAGCACAGCTTTGTTTGCTTCTGGATGCTTAAGTAAATGCTCACTGTAATAACCCCACTACTTTCAGGTTTAGGCCAAGTAAGCTCCAGGATTCCACTTGGCTCTTTTCTTATCAAGGGTTTTTAAGTGGACAGTTTTTAGTTCATCTTTATTTACTTCTACTCTGCA